GGTTAACCAGCTAGGTTCAGGTGAACAAGGTCTTGGTATTGGCGCAATTGGTATTGATTGGGCTACAATTAGTTCTTACCTTGGCAGTCCACTCGCTAGCCCGATCTTCGCTACCATCAATGTTATCATCGGTTTTGTGGTGGTCGTGTATGTCGTCACTCCTATTTGCTATTGGCTTAATCTTTACAATGCCAAAGCATTTCCCATCTTCTCAAGTGGACTTTTTATGGGGAATGGCTCGTCTTATGATGTTTTGAGCATCATTGATAACAAGTTCCATCTGGACCGAGACATCTATGCAAAGACTGGTCCTATCCATATGAGCACTTTCTTTGCTGTTACATATGGTCTAGGGTTTGCCACTTTATCCGCAACTATGGTCCACGTCTTACTCTTCCATGGAAGGTAACTAAACACAATCAATTCTTCATAATCAAATTTTTATATCTTGATTTGGTTAACGAGGTAGTTTCCATAGACAAGGACTTGTCTTTTGGTATTAGTTTCTAACTTATCTCCTTATAATTCTTTTTATTAAAAGTGATCTATGGAAGCAAACAAGAGGAGCTTTTAAGAGGAACAAGAAAATGGATATACACACGAGAATCATGAAGAAAAACTATAAAGAAGTTCCCATGTGGTGGTTTTTGGTGATCCTCGTACTCAACATTGTGCTCATCATGTTCATATCTGTGTACTACAATGCAACCGTGCAGCTACCTTGGTGGGGAGTGTTACTAGCTTGTGCCATTGCCGTGGTCTTCACTCCTCTTATTGGTGTTATCGTCGCCACCACTAATCAGGTAACTACAAGAAACTACATAAGAATTGAGACAATATTAGGGTTTTATGAATTATTCTTCTGAATTTTGTTGAAATATTCTTACCAAAAAAAAAAAAAAATTGTTGAAATATAACCATCTATTACAAAAAATAATAATTCACTCATTCCTCTGGGAAAAAAGAAGACAAATAAACTTAAAAGAAATTGTAGCTTTTATCAATATCCGTTTGTAATTCATAACCTATTCATATATGTCTGATTCAGTATCATAAACTATTAAGAGGTTGGCTTCATTATTTTTGTAAGTGACAACTTTATATTAATATAAGTTTCCTATTGATTTAGGCACCGGGTTTGAATGTCATCACGGAATATGTAATCGGGTACATCTATCCAGAACGTCCGGTTGCAAACATGTGTTTCAAAGTGTATGGATACATCAGCATGACTCAGGCTCTAACATTTATCCAAGACTTCAAACTCGGTCTCTACATGAAGATCCCTCCTAGAAGCATGTACATGGCACAGGTCACTAATTACCACATAATCTCCTTAATTATTTTTTTAATACTTCTTTCAAAGAAATAATATTTGTTAAAACGTGATATAATTAGTAATCTAATATTTTCCAGGTGCTTGGGACGTTTGTGGCTGTGATAGTCTACACAGGAACTGCTTGGTGGTTAATGGCAGACATTCCAAATCTATGTGACACATCTTTGCTTCCTCCCGACAGTGAATGGACATGTCCGATGGATCGTGTCTTCTTCGACGCATCTGTAATTTGGGGACTTGTCGGACCACGTAGAATGTTCGGTGACTTAGGAGAATACTCAAACATAAACTGGTTCTTCCTTATAGGCGCAATCGCTCCTTTCTTAGTCTGGCTAGCGACCAAAGCGTTTCCAGCTCAAAAATGGATCTCAGACATACATTTCCCGGTTATTTTAGGAGCAACCGCGATGATGCCACCGGCCATGGTGGTTAACTTCACGAGCTGGTGCATCGTGGCGTTTATTTTTGGACACTTCGTCTTTAAGTACAAGAGAGAGTGGTGGAAGAAGTTTAACTACGTTTTGTCGGGAGGTTTGGACGCTGGAACCGCGTTTATGACAATACTGATATTTCTAGCGCTTGGACGCAAAGGAATCGGATTGGTGTGGTGGGGAAACGCTGATGATAGCACAAACTGTAGCCTCGCGTCTTGTCCTACCGCTAAAGGCGTTATAATGCATGGATGTCCCGTTTACTGACCTTGTCACAATTAAGTAAAGTTCCTTGTAGTTCGTTGTTCATTCTTCTCTCTTGGTTAGTTATTTTTAATCTTTTTTTTTGTCATGTCGTAGGGAAGTTAAGTTTAGTTATCTTGGATATGTTTTGTATAGAACTCTACAATAGCTTTTAAATTTAATTCGTTTTACCTGTGGATTATTAGTTAAGAGTTTGTTTTTGTTTTTACAGCAAATCTTATATATTAAAACAGAAGTCATGACTTGACTTCATGTGTGATTTTTTAAAAAATGGACTATTCCTAGAAAGTTATGTTGCATTAATTCTCTAATAATATCATTATTATATCTTATGAAAAATCATATCTATAATAACAAAGATACGCTTAACAATTTGGTTTTGGTAAATTAGTCAACACCTTCCAACTTAATCACGCAAAATATGTCAATAGATATAAGTTTAGGAATCTTCTACTATTTATAAGGAAATATGTCAATAATAGTTAAATGCATCCACAATATATTAACAAAAATCACAGATTAGTAATATGGAATATTTATATACCCTAAAAAAATTTACACCATATATATATTTGATAAATTTATTTCGATGTAAATTTATAAAATTATATATATTTTTTAAAGAAATTGTTTAAAAACTGCCTTTTTAATAAAATTCTTTATAATATTGATTTATGAAGCTATAAGTTTAATTTTTAGCAAAAAATTCTTTGAAGTTTATATTATCTTTGCAAAGTAAAGTATACTAATATTCAATCAAGCTTTATTTATATTATTTTATCTTAAAATGAAATACTAATCTAACAAACAATAAAATATAGAAGAAGAAACAAACACATGTCTGAAAAACATGTATAATATAGAAAATTTGAAATAATCTATTTGATTAAAACACTTATTATATAATATTATTATGTTTGAAAAATATTTACTATACATATCGTAAACATGTATAATATAGAAAATTTGAAACAATCTATTTGATTAAAACACTTATTATATAATATTATTATGTTTGAGAAATATTTACTATACATATCGTAAATATGTGATTACTATAATATATACCAATTTACAAGTGAAAACAAAATTTTTATATAACTAACTATAAACAAAAACAAACACCCGCGCGGTTGCGCGGGTCAAAATCTAGTTCTTCCTTAAAATCGAGTACATACAGAATTATTCTTGGGTTCACCCCCTAGGATGAATCTTTAATATAGTGTTATTTCCTATTTGATATCTTTTTAAAAATGAAACAAAATCTTGTTAAGCTCTATTATGTTTTTAAAATAAACATACAAAAATAAACAAAATAATAATATTTACAAAAAACAAAAAAAAATTCTTAAAAAAATATATTTTAACACTAAAACACTAAACCCTAAAGCGTTGGATAAATCATAAACCGTCTCGAAAATCATATACATTAAATCAAAAAAATTAATACTAACCAATTATACTGTTTTTATTTATTTTTATCTTTTTATTTTAAAAACGTAATATAATTTTACAATATTTTGTTTTCATTTTAAAGATATATTAAAAGAATTTTTTAAAAAAAATTAAAAAATTATTACTGTTTTTATTATATTTTTATCTTTTTATTTGAAAAACATAATATAATGTTAAAATATTTTTTTAAAGAATTTTTCATTTTTTGTAAATATTATTATTTTTATTTTTTTCTATTTTAAAAGCATAATATAACTTAACAAGATTTTGTTTCTTTTTTCAAAAGATATCAAATATGAAATAACACCATTTTATTGGTTGATGAACCCAAGAATATTTCATTTTCATCAGATAATGGTATGGATCTTTTCAAAAGATATATAGTCAATCCAAATTAAGGTATAGATTAAATTCAGTTTTTTTTTAATGTTTTATTGATTTTACATAAATAAAACCAAATAGCCCGTTTATTTCGATAAATTTTGGTTTTTATTCTGATCGGCTTTGAGTCAGAAAACCATATACTGTACGAATGATGAAACCATATAAATTTTGGTTTTTATTCATTTTTATGTTTCAGATGTAATAATGCAGGTTTTTATATTCTGACGTTGCAAATATAATTTATATATTAATGAACCCCTCTTTTTTTTAACACTTATATTAATAAACAAGATGTCAAAAAACGTATATGAATTTTAAATCCAAAATGAGTTATAACTCTGACATACCTTAACATTTAGACCAAAAAAAAAAAAAACTCTGACATACATGAATTCTAAACATACAAATTTTCTCTATAAAATAACATTTATGTATACCTTCGCGGCCAATCCACCTTTGATCGTCTCTCAACTTATACCATACAGTACTCCATTCATCAGATTCAGATAAACTTTAATACCCTTTGCTAGTCAACTAAGGAATGGCCTAAATCCGCAGACCATAAGAGCATTGTCATTTCACCAAAATTTACTTCCTTTTCTAAAATTACAATCATGTTGAAGTAGTTAATGCATACGTTAGTATCAACGCCAAATAAGTTTCATACTATCTTAACATAAACGAAACATTTGACTCCACGAATTCAGAAAATAAGTTTCCTTAAATCTTTTATTGTACAGTCAGTGGTCATCAACGCCAAAAAGGTCTAATCTGAATGTATCCATAATTCGATCCGTATCATACTTCTTTTTATGGAAAGATCATTAAAAATATGATACCAAAAATGACTATAAATTACGTCAACAAAACAATCAATTATATTCTGCACCTAAAAGATAATACAATTCAATCAGGATCTCAAATCAAACACGTCCCGAGGAAGAGAACTCATATATATCTGTGAGTATCTCTATCAATCTTTATTTGTTTATCCTTCGTGTTATAAGTATTTGCATATTTAAAAAGAGAATCTCAAGAACGGTTACATAAACACTGTCCACAGATACTTACGTTTATCCTATTTTATCCATAGCAGAGAGAGTAATTTTGAGTGTTTTCAAAGACCAATGAGAGACATGACAGAGATAAGATCGAATCTGGAGACGGAATCTGATCTTTACGCCGAGGAGGAAATAAGTATAGTTCCACAAGTGGAGTTAACCGTGCCTAAAACCGATGATCCAACTGCACCGACGGTTACATTCAGGATGTGGGTTTTGGGGATAACCGCGTGTGTCCTCTTGTCATTTGTTAACCAGTTCTTTTGGTACAGAACCAATCCTTTGACCATCTCATCTGTGTCTGCTCAGATTGCTGTTGTTCCCATTGGTCATCTGATGGCTAAGGTTCTTCCGACAAGGAGATTCTTCGAAGGGAGTAGGTGGTCTTTCACGATGAATCCTGGTCCGTTTAGTACCAAAGAACATGTTCTTATTACTGTGTTCGCAAACTCTGGCTCTGGAGCTGTTTACGCTAGTCATATTCTTAGTGCTGTTAAGCTTTTTTACAAGAGAAGGCTTGATTTCCTTCCTGCTTTACTCATTATGATCACAACTCAGGTAAATGTTGATAGCATTTTTTATTCCAAATGAATTTCTAGGTTTAAGTATTTGTGAAAAGAAAAACTCATAGGTATTTATTCTCTTTCTTGCTATGCAAGGTGTTGGGATTTGGTTGGGCTGGTTTGTATAGGAAACATTTAGTTGACCCTGGTGAGATGTGGTGGCCAAGCAATCTCGTTCAAGTATCTCTCTTCAGGTAACGTTACTGACCTTCTAATTCCTGCTATGTCTTACATATTACAGGGCTCAGCTATAGCCACATCAGGATGAAACATTTATCTTAGAGCATCTCAAAGGCATTTCTAGTTTTACCTTTATAATATCACTAGAGTCAATTTAACTTTAATCTATTGCTACTTTTTCCTTTAAAATAGGTGTTACAAATTTTTTCTCTATATTTAGGAGAAAAAAATATCATCCTCCATTTTTTACTTTACATTTTGAAGCTTGCTATGATAGATATATCCTCCATCTCTATTATAGAGATTCTATATTTTAAAGGAAAATATAAATTTAATCCAAATCCTATAAATAGGTCGAACTGCCCCTAAATTCTATAAATCTAATCTTAATATGTTTATGGGCTTCATAAATTTACAATCCATGAACTTAAAAGAATCATATGTTTTGATCATATACAGAGCGTTGCACGAGAAAGAGAAGAAATCGAAATGGGGAGTTACTAGAAACCAGTTCTTCGTCATCACTCTAGTCACCAGCTTCTCTTATTATATTCTTCCTGGTTATCTCTTCAGCCTCTTGACCACCGTCTCTTGGCTATGTTGGACTAGCCCTAAATCTATTCTAGTAAACCAGCTCGGTTCAGGGTCAACTGGTCTCGGTATCGGTGCCTTTGGTCTAGACTGGGCAACCATTGCGTCTTACCTCGGCAGCCCACTCGCTAGCCCGTTCTTTGCCACAGCAAATATAGCGGTCGGGTTCTTTCTTCTCATGTACGTAATCACACCCTTATCCTACTATCTAGACTTCTTCAACGCCAGAACTTTCCCAATCTACTCAGGTAAACTCTTTGTATCCAACGGACAAGAATACAAGGTACGGAGCATCATCAACGACGAGTTTCGTCTTGACCGTAAGGCTTACGCAGAGGCAGGACCTGTCCACATGAGCACTTTCTTTGCTGTTTCTTACGGGTTAGGTTTCGCTACCTTGACGGCTAGTGTTGTCCATGTCTTGCTTTTCAACGGTAAAGATCTTTGGAACCAAACCAAAGGAGTGCTTCGTGGAAACAAGAAAATGGATGTACATACAAAAATAATGAAAAGGAATTACAAAGAAGTTCCTCTTTGGTGGTTCCTTTCGATTTTCGCGGTGAATATAGCAGTTGTTATCTTCATGTGTTTTTACTATAAGACACAGATTCAGCTTCCTTGGTGGGGAGCTTTCTTGGCTTGTTTAATAGCTATCTTCTTCACTCCTCTAGTTGGTGTGATCAAGGCCACTACTAACCAGGTTTGAAGAGAATCATATTTATGTTTAATTTGGTATCCCAAAACCGGTTATGATGGATAAAACCATTTTTTGTTGTTGTTGTTGTTGTAGGCTCCGGGTTTGAATATTATCACGGAATACATCATTGGGTATGCTTATCCAGAGAGACCTGTTGCTAACATATGCTTCAAGACTTACGGTTACATTAGCATGTCTCAATCTTTGACTTTCCTTGCTGATTTGAAGCTTGGAGCTTACATGAAGATCCCACCAAGAACCATGTTTATGGCACAGGTTAGTAGTCTTATTATTTTCCCACATGTATATTGTATCCTTAACTAGAACAGTTGCTTAAACCCCACTTGATTAAGCTTGGCCTTGCCCCATTGCCCCTGAGTCAATCCACTTAAACCCTAAATCTCCCACTTTAGATTTTTACGTTTAAGCCGGATCCAAGAATCAACTCATGGAAATTTTGAGCGCAAGAGACAAATTTAGTAAAAAATTTAATTTAAAAATAAATAAATAAGTTAGGGACATGTGTTTGTATACATTTATATAAATTTTTGATACTTTGGTCTATGAACCAAATTAATGTTTCATTTAGCTATGCCATGACCGGCTCCTATACTGCCGACTAGCCTTGACTTTTTACAAACTTATTATTACATGCATTTGGTTCTTATTACAAGTATGTCGCTTAAATCTCTCAAAAACATAACATTTAATTGAATCTGTTGTTCTCGTTTCACAGGTTGTGGGAACCTTAGTAGCAGTTATAGTTTACGCATCAACAGCTTGGTGGCTAATGGCCGAGATCCCAAACCTCTGCGACACTTCTCTACTTCCACCAGGAAGTCAATGGACATGCCCAACTGATAGAGTCTTCTTCGACGCATCAGTAATCTGGGGACTTGTAGGACCAAGAAGAATGTTTGGTGATCTTGGAGAATACGCAAACATAAACTGGTTCTTCCTAGGAGGTGCAATAGCTCCAGCATTGGTCTACTTAGCTACAAGAATCTTCCCAAAGAAGAAATGGATCTCAAACATTCACATTCCAGTTCTGATTGGAGCCACGGCTATAATGCCACCTGCTACTGCGGTTAACTTCACGAGCTGGCTTGTTGTGGCGTTTGTGTTTGGACATTTCGTTTTTAAGTACAAAAGAGAATGGTGGCAGAGATACAACTATGTTCTGTCTGGAGGGATGGATGCCGGAACTGGATTTATGTCTGTGCTTTTGTTTCTTATGTTGCAACGTAGTGACATTACGCTTGGTTGGTGGGGAAATTCTGGTGAAGGTTGTCCTATTGCTAAATGTCCAACTGCAAAAGGTGTGATTGTTCATGGTTGTCCTGTCTTCTAAACCATATATGTTTGTCCTTAAAAGCAGTTCAATCTAACAGTTTTCTTTTGTAACTTATAAAAACTTTTACTTATTTAAATGTAGAGATGAAAATGATTTACAATCTCTACTAGTTGTTTAAAATTTGTGATTAGATATATTTTAGTACGCTTTTTGTTAAATTATTTTTTTAACTTTATTTTAATTTATTTAAAAATAAAGACAAAAGAAATAATTTTGTTTATTTTAAGTTTATATTTGAAAATGGATATGTATATATTTGAAATTATATTTAGCTAAAATTTTATCTACTTGTCTTTGTTAAAATATATTAAATTAATTGCATGAAATTAAAAGAAAAGTGTAAAAATAATTTCTTAATTTTATAATTATCAAAAAGTAAAACTAAGTAATATTTTAAAATTTGGTAGATACTAAAAGAAAACAGATGGTAATAAGATTATAAATTTATAATTTTACATTTTGATAAAATTTTGAAGACTTTTCCTAGTGATAAGAAATTACATAATTACCAAAATTAGAATAAAATAATATTTTGAAAATTTGTTAAATAATATTATATTTATGTATATCAATTATTATATTATTTTAATATTATATTTGAATATATTTAATTTAGTAATGATCTATGAGTTACTGTCATATACTAAAAGGTTTACCAAAATTATAAACTAACACTAGATGCAAATATCAATGTCATAATTAACTTCAATCTTGGTTCAACACATGCACACACAAAAAAGCTAAACCTCAACTAATAAAACTGAGAAATAATATTTTAACACATTAAATAGTTTATAACTTGATTTTTATTTTAATTAAAATGTAGTAACATCATTCAGCAAATGATGGAGTCATCGAACACTACACTGTTCAAGGTGGCAATGCTGGAGAAGAATAAGAAGAGCGTCTCGTACCTCATCACTATCCCTTGGCCTCCTCTAAACCGAACTGTGCAACCTTGAACCAGAGTACTCGCTTGCAGCAACCTGTGTTTTCTTTGAGGTAGCAAGAACCGTCTCCAAGTCCATTTGTGTCAACGCTCTAAGCACCTTAAAAAAACAATGCAGAAAACATCATGTGCAGAGGAAGGAAGGGAAACACATTCCTAAACCCGGTTAACTACTAACCGGAATTTTCCTGCCCTTTCTCTCCTCCTCTAGTATCTCTCTGATAGGGAAGTAAGCTGCTCTCTTGCAAAGCTCAAAGATATCTGATCCTGTATACTCTTCACATAACCTCGCTACAAGATCATAGTCTATACCCTCCTCCACCTTCTCTCCTTTCAAAACAACTCTCAATATCTCAGCTCTCTCCTTGTCGTCAGGCATCCCTATCTCAAAAGCCTGAGCGAAACGCCTCAAGATCGCTTCATCCAGCTCTGAAGGTCTGTTTGTTGCACCAAGAACCATCACCCTCGCATTCTCTACAACACAAACAAACATACTTTTTTTAGCCAACACTTACCTAAACAAAGGTTCTAACCAAGACAGAGTAGAAACTCACTGTCTGTAGCAAACCCATCCCACAAAGCCATCAACTCTGTCTTCATATTCTCCATCGCTTCACTATCCGTAGACCGTCGCTGTCCAAGAAAACTACATAGTAGTGAATTTATCAGACTGACCCTACCAAGCCTTTTGTGTGTTTTCACTTTCACTATTGACCTGATATGAAGTTTCAAAGCCTTTTAGCTAAATCGATTTTTGCTATCGATATAATTTGGGCCAGTGTTAGCTTAATTTTTACATATCTCAAGATGTTAGCTGAGTTTAGTGATTGGTCTGCTACGAACAATTAATCATCGAGTTTTGCTGAGTTTATAGTTTCTTGTTTGAAACTACTATGAACAAATAATCAGTGTGTTCTTTGTCTCGTCGTGGTAGATCATCTGGTTTCTTGTCATTGCTGATTGTCATGCCTTGTTCTTTTCATTAGTAAACATGCAAATATATATATAATGTGTCAATGAAAACTTAGACATAGCATACCTTATTATTCTTAATTAAATTAAATGTCAACGTTTTTGCATAGTTATTGCCAAATGTCAATAACCAACCATTATTATACTATCAATAAACGTAGCATTTTCAGGTATTGGTAGGAGAACAATCAATTTCTGAATTTTAAACGTACATTTCGTTTCTTCCTGTAATAGTTAATTAGATGTGCTTGATTTTCATTAGATTCAATTCAAAACGTCAAAATCTTGATGAAGACTATAAATTAGTCATTTATATAATCTTCAACACCATCCTCCAAAACAACAGTTGTTCATTCTCTTCCACTTCTTGCATCAACTTGGCTTCTATCACTTCCCCAAATTTCCTTGTAAAATAAACCCTAACTTCAGATTCTGAAGTTGGATACCCTTTCAAAAAGGTCAGGAAAACCGTCCTATCATCTGCCGGTACCACCATTTCCTCGGTCTCTGCCTCCTCCTTGACAGTCATGACAGGCTATGCATATATTTATGAGGGAAAAGGTAGTGACGCTTTTAGAGAGAGATATTTAACGGTATATATATATTACACACTGGTTTAGGGTTTTGCTTCAGGCGCACACCCCAAAGTCTGTTCTCCTGTTTAATTTTGTTTTATGTGTGTTTTATTGATTGATGAGCTGGAATTGTAAATTCTGTGCTGGAAAAGTTTTCAACAAATTAGTTTTTCCCATAAATATATATATTTATGCAGAGTCTTCACGACTTCACTGAGGAGACAGACACAAGGAAGTGATGGTACCAACAGATAGATAAGACGGTTTTTCTGATCTTTTTAAAAGGGTATATGACTTTAGAATCAAGAGTTATGGTTTACTTTACAAGGAGATCAGGGGCGTGATAGAAGCTATATTGATGCAAGAAGTGGACGAGAATGAGCAACCATTATTTACGAGGATGGTGTTGAAAATGGAATGTGCGTTGAAGAATGAAGAGATTGTGAGTCCACGGAAAAGACAAAAATTCACTATTGATGGCAAACATGTCGGGCTCCCAAATACGTTCGCAAGAAGTCTAGTTCCTCTGATTTTCCCTCCTCCTCACATGTGTGATCATCATCTATTTACTATTTGATTCCGTTTTGAATGTGATATTCTATTGAATCTTACAATATTTAAAATTTATACCAATCTTTTTCTTTGTGAAAAAAGCCTGTCATGAGCATCATCTCTAAATCTCTAACCGACTCATCATGGCTTTATGGATGAGTAGTGTGAAACATTGACCAAAAGATAAATGTCTAAAGAAATCAACATCTTGTTGTATATCTTCAGGATTTATAAGCCGGTTCGGTCGGGACAAAACTAGTTGGTCTCATTCAAACACTCACAAGAGGTATTGTCTCTTCTTACATTACAACTTATAATACCAGAACATGAACATCACTAACAACATTAAAAGAAATTTTATTTGTCAAAACAATGTTAAGTGCATTTTGGAGTTCTGTCGGAAAAGTGATAAGCTAGTTTACTAGTTAGAGACTTAGAGTATATGAAGGAGAAGGAGAGACATAACATATTTCTTTCATTATTTTCTTACCTTTCCTTAAAGAAAATTTGGTTGCTCTCACTCGTTTATCCTCATTGTTTTTTGTTTTGTTTTTGGTATCCAACTAAATTCCATTCTATCAAACTGGTTTGTTTAAGCAAGCTACATGAGCTAGCCAACTAGGGACCTTATCGTCTACAAAAGTAAGGCTTTGAACTCGTGATCGGGCTCATTGTTACAAATTCCTAAATTTGAAACAATAGTAATATTGAAATGTTTATATTTGGTAAACTCTTTATGATATCAATATATTTGATTTGTGAACAACCGACGTCGTTTTCCAGGATCACTAACTAACCCGACACACCGTTTTCATCAAACACATCAAACCCAACAGAGAGAAAAACGGCAAGGCGTTATGCATTCAACGTGTCCATTTTCCATTTCTCATAAAGAAACCCTAAACTATTACTTGTGTCACACGAAAGAATCCTATCTTTTACACTTAAGAAAGCATGACCGTGAAGGAGGCCGACGAGATTTGATCTTCCGTGCTAATCAAAACTCCGTCCAGCTGCGTTCCTTGATTTTAACGTCTATCCTCTCTCTATCTCTTTAGTGTATCATTTAGACTAGTCTGGTCTCGATTCATCCGAGACCGTAACTTCTACACATGTGTCCGTATTGAGTTTGATTCGATATTAGATTGTTGTGTTTGTTAATTTCAGTTTACGATTTGTCATAAACTTGATGATGGGTCGGAAAAGAGAAACAAAAACATGTGACAAAGGGTCACAACAACAAAGCTGGATATGCCAACTACCTGATGTTTTGATAAGTGAAATACTTATTCGTGTTCCTACAAAGTATGCTGTAAGAACAGGCGTTTTGTCCAGACGATGGATGAATCAATGGAAGAGTGTTTCTGGATTGGACTTAGACTCCCGTGAATTCCCGGATATGGATACCTTTGTGAGTTTTGCTGGAAGTTTTTTTAATTCCCCCCACAGGGAAACATTGATACAAAAAATAAGGTTAAATGCTTATTACGCTAAATGCAAGTCCCTTCTCATCACCCAATGGACCGATATTGCGATTAGGCGTAAGATTGAGCATCTCGATGTTAGTGATGTTACGATGCCCGTCAGTCTATATACATGCAAGACACTGGTGCACTTACGCCTTTGTTGGGTTGTCTTGGCTAACCCCGAGGTTGTTTCATTACCATGCCTAAAGATCATGCATTTAGAAGGCATTAGCTATCTCACTGAGCTACCTGTGGAGAAACTTATCTCAGGCTCTCCTGTTCTGGAAGATTTAACCATTATCAAACCAACTCGTGATGAAAGGCCTTTAGAAGTGCGCTCTACTACGCTGAAGAGGATTGACATAGAGTCGAATACAGAAGTTATGATAGATGCTCCTCTACTCCAGTGTTTGAGGACTAGGGTTTACTTAGCAAAGAACTTCAAAATCATCAGTTTGGGTTGCTTCACCACCCTAGATATTGATATGGTCCTTCCTCATGTGAGTTGCACCAAAAGTTTAATTTGTGATACCCTCACCGATATTCTGAGGTTCAGAGGCCTTGTTACAAGTAGTTACATTTTGAAGGTAGTCAGTCATGTTAATTAATATTTGAGCATTTCCTTATTCTTCCTCAAATAGTTTCTAACCAACATTTTCTTTCTTTTTTTTTTTTTTTTTTACAGAACATCTTTCTATACTCCGAACCGGGACCATTCATTCATCAGTTCCGTGACCTATCCCGTTTACATGTGAAATTCTCTAAATCCGATCTTGAAATGTTGCCAGCCATTCTTGAAAGCTGCCCAAAACTACAATCTCTCATATTGGTAATGAATTGCTTTATAACCCTTTGAGTTATGCATATTAATGTTCTTTTTCGTATTTGGATGCAACATCTAGATACAGTATTTGAATACAACATTCGAATGTTGCATCCAAACATGCATGTTCGTTTTTATAGTTAATATTACGCATATTGCATGTGAAAAGCTTTAATGTACCGTTCTATACTCAATTTGTTATCAAGGACCCTAGTTATAAGAAGAGCAAAGAACCAAAGTTGATGTTTTCAACAGTGCCTCCGTGTCTAGTATCATCGCTCAGGTTTATGGAACTGAAACGTTTGATCCCAAGGTATGAAGGGGAAGTAGAGCTAGTAAGATACTTTCTCAAGAACTCACCAATCCTGGAGAAACTAAAGCTTGATACTAACTATACCAATAAGGGCATGCTTGATTTCCTTAAAGAAGTCATTGCATTGCCGTGATGTTCTAGCGCTTGTGAAGTCATTGTTCTCTAAAATGACATTTCGTTTGAGGTAAATTTTTGGATGTTAAAAACTGGTTGATTTGAGGAACATTTCTCATGTATTAATAACCTATTAACAATTTTATCTAGAATTTTATTAATATTTCTGCAAATTCAAGCATTAGTTGGATATTTATCAATTTGTTCTTTTGCTAGCTTTTGCCTTCTATTTGATATTTATTACGTATGGAGTACGGTTATGTTAAAAAGAAAAACTACAACCCTGTAAATAATCAAAATCTCATTAGGTTTTGTGATTTTGTTGGGGTTAGTGACAGACAATGTGAACATGCGTAAGCATTTCATTACAAAATGTTATCTTTCTTGGTTACTAAATTTCCTTGGCTCTCATAAGTTTATATCCCTTCAAATGTAGATAAGTCTCTTAACGACAATGAACATCCTAATGAAGGTTGGTAAACTCTCTGCTGAACAATTTTACAAATAAACACAAGTGAACTATGAAACTGTACGAGTGTTGATGATGCTCTTATCTCACGTCATCGATTGGTGCTGCAATTAATCGTAAAGTCCAACATCTTGATTTCCAATGGTGTAGAGAGCTTCAGTTTCATATGAAAGGCTTTACAACAGTTTTAGCAGGAGACGATCTTTCATCACATGCAAAGTCTCCACTCTAGTCTCTGGAGAGATGAAAACGAAATGCATTAAGGTATTCACTAGATTTCAAATGCAAAGTCCTACTTTGATTGGTATATGATGCCAAAGTAGATATAGATTGAATCTTCCATTTTCGCTGGCCTTTTTGCAGAGCATTTGGACTTGTGCTTTGAGATTTTTTTCAGAATTTCCATAACACAATCGATTTTTGAGAATACGGATACTAATAAAATCCAAAATCAAATGTATACTTTAGCATCCAGGATTGGTGAGACTTCATACACCAATTAAACAAAATAGATAAAAATAAGATAGGAGAATGAATGTCACGCCTTGCTCTTACATGCATTCACGTTGAAATGCTCGACTTCAAGTCACATTCAGAGCTTCCTTTGTTGCGGTGGCGCCATATAATCAGAGCTCTGCCTTCCTCTCTGGACTGTCTGGGCATTCTTCTTTAATCCCTGAGATTGAGCCATAGGAGTCATGGCCACATACATTGAGCTTGGAGATGATGAAACTGCCACTTTGCTTGCTGCTGCTGAAGCTGAACCAGCTACCATTTTCTGTGCACCTTCCCTCACTTGAATGTAGTCGTCCTCTATGACAAATAACTGCAAGCCAAACACAATTTTGAACATGTTTCAAAAAGGAAGAAGACAATAAAAAGGTTTTGGGAATTGAGATGAGACAAACCTCGAGGTGGCTAGCAACAAAATCTTCCAGCTTCCCATACTTCTTCCTGTAATCACTCCAGTGCAGAGGAGCTAGCATTTTGCCCAAACGGTTTGGAAGCTGTAAATGACATTGAGCAGCAAATGTTACAAGAAATACTACAAATTTTAATTGTGCACTCTCATTGTGGTTAAGATTCTCACCGTTGAACTGATTCTGATTCTTCCACCAGCTGGTATAGTGCGAACGATGCAAGCCAAAAGCGACCTCTCATCAAGAAGAGCACTCTCCAAGTTCCTCTCAGTTTTACCAGATGAGACCAGAGTTTCACGCGCAACGGATCCAATACCATTTGGTTCACCAGGAGAAACCTGACCATTGGCCTCCTGCGGAAAGAGATCAAATCGAAAACAGATTCAGAATATTTTCCATATAGCTACAAGCAAATTAACATTTTTTTAGATGATATGACTATACCTCAGGTTTCTGATTTAGGGCACTGGAATCTAGCCTTAGCGCATCACGGAACTGTGAAGAAATGTCTTGAAAGTTATTCTCCGATGTATTAGATCCATTGCCAGATTCCACTACCTGTTAAGGGGTAACTCTCTAAGATAGTATCGATTTGAACCAGTATAAGACACCATGTATTAACAAGAGCATCCCCTACCTGTTCATTCACAGAGGATGATGGTGTGGTTGATCCAAATTGTGCTCCATTGCTGGTTTGAACATCCAGATACCCTTGATCAAGGGACTGTCCATTGGCACTCTTCGCTTCAGAACTAACCAAGCCATGAACAGCTTGAGATGGATGCACATAATTCTGCCTAGGCATCTCTGAACTAGCTGGTACAGCCTGTAAAGAAACCATGAAAAAGTTTATACAATCACTAACTGTTGATTATAGTTTAAAAAAATGCATTCATTAATCTCACACCTTTTGCTGCAGTAACACTGATTCTGGAACATGAGGTGAAGGTACTCGAGCCTGAAGAATCTCCTGTTGATGCATGGCAAACGCTTGCAGAGGGGTCACCTGACCCCCTTGAATGTTCTACAAAGACGCACAAGAGAAAAGACAGTCACGGATTGTTTCATTGCTAAAAACGAAAGACTTAACAATCAGTATAACAATGAAATTCATTGAAGAATAGACAAGTGAAGCAACTGAATATTCAATTATTTCACTTTTGCTTAACAATATCTGACGCCTAAAAATGTACCTTGATTTGGTTCCCACTGTTCTGGATAATCTGGGAGGCGCCGTTAAGGTTTGTTTTAGAGACACCTCCTTCTTTTACATTAGCAAGCTCATGCTGAAGCTGTTGCACTGTATGCAAATGCAATCTCTCCATCTCCGCAAACTGAACTCAGTGAGATGGAACAACAATATAAGATAAATACTAGAACTATCTCGAGAATAGAAAAAAAATAGGAATATGTTCAGATAAGCAACCTGTCTTTGGCAACCAAGCCAGAGCTGGTTATACTGCTCAGTACGTTCTCGCAACTCAGCCTGCAAGGAGTGATTTGTAGATGACTGTAAAGCATCCATCTCTTGAGCACGCGCAATCCACCCTTGCGCTTCTCTTAGCTGCTCATCCTTGTACATGATTGTTTCTTGAGCAATCCTATTCTGCAAGCCAAGGATAACGACTCGGTATTTGGTGCGTTGAAACAATAACTCGATCGTGACAAAATCACAGGAAAACTAACCTGTTCCTGCAATTCAGCGAACTGTCTCTCCTTCTCTTGGAAATGCTCCTGAAGTTCAGACATTTTGTGTAAGCTTTGGGACATCTCAGCTTCAGAGTGATCACGCTCCCTTCTGCATAAAAAAAAAAAACGTAGCTTGTTACATATTCCTAAACCACACTCCGACTTAACATCTTATCAAAGACTCCACAACATGTAATCCGTGAAAAGAAAATGTCAAAGACCTTAACGAAGAAGAGAATAAAGAAAGCACCTGAGAGAAGCAAGCTCTTTGTTTTGTTCTCTAAGTAAACCCTCTTTCTCCCAGGCCTGTTAGGAAGAGTAACAAGGAAACTTAGCATCAAACCATTCAGATAAATTAAATTCATATCTAAAGAACATACAGCTTCGTTATCAAGCTTAACAGCATGAAGCTCCCTTTCTTTCTCTTCTAACTTCCTCTCCATCTCCCGAATAGACCTATCATTCTCCCGAAGTTGCTCCTACAAAAAAAAAAGAACATTCCTTTATGTCTTCAACGAAACATCAAAGCGCTAAACCAACGAGAGAAAAAGATTCAAACCTGCATCCTAGCAGCAGCATTCTCATACTCAACAGAACGAGACTCAAAGCTCCTCTGGATCTCCATAGCCAAGACCCGAGCTCTTAGCTCAACCTCCTGCTGCTGTAACTCCCCTTGTTGTCTCGAAAGGGTACGAATCTGCTCCAAGAGCTCACCATCTGAGCCAGAACCATCCATCGTGATTGAGTAGTAAGCCAAATCACCACCACCACCACCCTCTCTCCCATTCTGCAATTAATAAAAATTCAAACTTTGCATCAGATTTCAATCTTACGAAGCTTTGATTGACTTCTAGGAACAGATAAAAAACAGAGATTGAGAAAGGGGGCATTACCACGTAATCAGTGGCGTTACCGAAGTTGTGAGAATCGGAAACGGCGCGCCACTCTTTCCTAGAGGAGGAAGAGTTCTGAAGAGACCCGCCACGAGTCTCGTTCTCCATTAGAAAAGAAACCTACTTTAAGATCCCCCAAAGAGAAGAAAAACTAGGGTTTTTATCGGTAACCCTAGAGATATTTCTAGCTAAGACTTAGACGAAGACGACGGATAAGAATCGAGATTGAGGAAGATAATAGCTGAAGGGAGGTTTAAAGGAAGGAAAATGGTGGAGATGATTGAGGAAGAAGAGAGGAGAGCATAAGTGTGCGAGCGAGAGAAGAAGGAGACGACGACCCTAATAGTTCTTGTACAGCAGCAAATGATTTGGCTCCTTTTCTACTCCTTGGAGTGAAGATCGTGTTTCTGCTCCTTATTGGGCCTAGTTACTTTTGGGCCTATTGAGCTTAGTTATATTCAGGCCCAAATACTTAACCGGTTTATCTCGTTTAAAACAAACTAAACCTAAATTTTCTGGTTCGATGAAGAAATCATTAGCCATTCTTACAGACGACGTCGTTTTGGATTCGGGTTTGTCTCATAAGCAAATTCGATTTGGGGAAGCGATTTGAGAGATTAGGAAGAGGAAGAAGAGGAAGATGGGGTACGTATTGAGGGTGAGAATGGCATCTTTCTTCGCTGGAGCTGCGACAGCGTCGTTCATCGGCCTATCTGTTCTCTACAAGGATTACAAAGTCGCTCACGAATCCATCTCTCAACAGGTATTTTGCAATCGATTTTTCAATTTTTTTTCTCGTATCAGATCCCATTTCTTTCGTTTGCTAACATAATGAATCGTGGAATTAGTTGGTGCTGGATCATTTGGTCTTTATGATATTCAGCTTCATATGGAACATGTTTGTATACGAAAGAATCACACAGTTTTGATATTTCTTATAGGAATTAGGGTTTCTGATTGTGTTGTCATTTAGCTACTTGTTAGATTTGGTCATTGGCTTTATGTACATGCTTGAGTTTCATACTAACCTTTTCGTTAATGCAGCATTTACATCATTTAGATTTAGTATTAGTTTTTGCTGTAAATCTTGATGATGTAGAGCACTTCCAGCATTTGCCATTTGGTAATTTAATCGTCATCATTGTGAATGAATATCCATTGATGCTATAGGTGAATTTTGACATGAGAATTGTTTACATGAGAAAACGTTCAAGCAGTTGATAAATTGTGAGTACTGGTTAAGTTGAAAGCACAATGGTCATCCGTTCTGAATGAATATCCATAGTTGCATTTTTCTCTAGCTTTAATGGATACCTATTTGTCTGTCATACTGCGTTAATGCGTTTGAATTATTAGCAAAATGCTTTAAGATTAGTTTTGGTTTTTGTGAGTATTGGTTGTGTTGATGCACAACCATCTTCATTGTTAATATCTATAGCAGCATTATTTTTTTTTCTCTGTAGCTTTAACTATATATTAGAATACCGTGCATGTTTGTTGACTGTAGATATGATCTCTGTTTCTACAGGCAAAGGCTTTACATGACTCTCTGGATACAAGGATCTCTGCTCTTGAAAGCTTGAGACAAAGCGAAGCTCCTCAGCTACCCGAGACAACAACAACTGATTAGTATCTTGTCTCCTACATTGATACTCTCTGCTTGCTTGCTGATGAGGTGCTCTTTTTGCGTTTATGAATAACTTGGGAGTTCTTGTATGACTACTGTTTATGAAACAATGAAGTTAAAGGTAGTCTACAATGGATTTAAACTTTGCTGTAACACTTGCCATGCAAAAAAATTATGTTTTGATATATTGTTTTGGAGCTTAAGTCAGCAGAATCCTGCTTTTCAGGCAGATCAAGTTTATATATGATTTCATGTGATTTCCCCCACAACACCAAATTTAGGTAACACAACGAACATATGAAAGTTAATTCAGTCTAGTAGAGATTAAAGAACCAAAAACTATAATTTGAAATATGACGGATTAAGTTTGGACACATGTTCAGATTAGTTTTTGCTCTAAAAGATTTTATGTACTGGGTTTTTTCTGTTATAAGACAAAAGATGTTACAGAGTTTCTTCAACTTATTTATCACAAAGAAAACAGCTAACGCTGGAATTTATTTGAAAACTTATAAACTTAAGTAACTCGATTTGTAAAGTGTAACACTTCCTTGTTTTCAATTCAAGATTAAATCTCATAACTACGACTAGAAGTGTAACTCTCCTAATGAATTTACCAAATTCGTTTAAACTTTAGCTACACTATAAATTGTTAGTTTCTTTCTCTATCAAAACCATCCCAATCAAGCAAATTATATTTTCCTCCAAAATAAAGAAACAACAGGTGCAATGGAAGGTAGGATCAAAATTTTCTTTTCCATGGCTCTAGTCTTTGCCACTATTTTTATGAGACCAGGATTAGCCGAGGTCCACACCACACCTCAACTTCGTTTCATTCCTGGCTCCCCCGTTGATATCACAAAGTGTTGGTCATCACTTATCAGCATTCAAGGTTGTGTAATTGAAATCTACAAATCTGTTGTAACTGGTAAGTTTGAAAACGTTGGACCAGCTTGTTGCAAAGCCTTTACGGATGTTGATGCAAAATGTTGGCCTAAAATGTTTCCTTTGAATCCTTTGTCCCCTCCTCTTGTCAAGAATAGTTGTTCTCGCATCAGCGCAGCTACAACACCTCAGTTCCCTATCATTCCTGGTTCTCCGGTAGACCTCACGAAATGTTTGTCATCACTCGTCAGCGTTCAAGGTTGTGTAACTGAAATCCACAAATCATTTTCAACAGGGAAGTTTGATAACGTTGGAGCTACGTGTTGCAAGGCGTTTTTGGATATAGATGCCAAATGTTGGCCACAAATGTTTCCACTAAATCCATTCTTCCCTTCTCTTCTCAAAAATGAATGTTCTCGCATCGCAGTAGCTCCCATACGCAAATGAAGTCACTTGAAACCACAATTTCAAGATGCTTTAAATTAAGGGTATTATAGATTATAAACTTAGTTAAATTATTCAAGAGTTCCATATGTATCATGGCTGCTCTAGATTTTATCTACACTAATATTTTAATATTAAGTTTCTGGCAAAATCTTAATTACAGCTTTCATCTATATTAAAATAATTTACATCAGTAAGAGATGATTTCTGATTTTAATTAAAGTAGAAGAACTTTGATCCAAACAAATATATACATAAACAATTTGAGTCGCATTAGCTGCTAGCTATTGCAATTAATCATTTTCTTTTTCAACAACATAGCTGTCCAAACTATAATCTAGAGATGGCTAAAAGAATTTAAACTATTCTTATAATTTTAGCTAATAACTCCATAAGCTCAATGTTAATTTGGAGAAATGCACATTAATAATTTTGAAATAAATCGTTATTAGCGAAGTGAAAATTATTTCTGGTGTATAATATAGTAACGCATAGAAATTGTTCAAATCTCTCTCACGACACAGACTATTTTGTCTCTACGTGCAAATTGCAGTTCTTTTTATGTTACAAAAACAATATTAAAATCAAGCAAAACAATACTTGCCCAACTTGTTCCATGTCGTACAACTTTTTAACGTTTTCAAAACAAGACAACGTGTTTTTATACGTCAAAAGTTCAACCACATGACAAGACAAAGGTTGGCAGTAGTTACAAAGTTATTTTGGGAGTGCTAGGCCACATTGGTTAGCTTTTTAGGATCTTTTTTGCTTACGAAATAATAAATTTATACAATGTTTACTTATAATATGGTACTTTTATGATCAGGATCTTCACTAATAACAAAAACTAATTAAGAGAAAATAATTCAATATTCAAAAGGTTATATTTAAATAAGAAATAAAAACACAAACTTCTATATTAAAACTTTAAATCCCCAAATTTTCGTTGACTTTAGCAACTCTAACAAAAATGATATTTGTGTTGCTTAATTAAAGCATATGGACCAACGAGATCCCGATGTTACAGAGGAGTGAGTCACCGTTTAACAGTCTAACGTACAACAGAGAGAGTGACGTTCATATTTCGGCATACAGCCCTTGTGTACATTACACGTGATTAGTGTTCTACATCTTTGCAGAGAAAGAGTCATTAGGGTTTGTTCGTCTTTAACATTTTGGATATTTCTCAACCAGATTGATCTTAGAATTTCATGATTTTGGGTTCTTAGACTGTTCATTCCATTTATGTTTTATATACTATTGTAGTAACGTACGTATAAAGGGAACTAAATAAACCTTAACGGTGACTTGAGACTAAAACGTTAGTGAAGAAATTCACGTTTATTTGGACTAGTTTGATACTGAGAATGCGTCGCAAATGAACGGGAAAAACGTGAAGATCATAAGACAAAATGGTTCAATCGGTGATAAGCTGACAGCTTTTGTTAGAGTAAAAGACAAAATCTTAATTGTTTAACACTACCACTAAATCTTAATTGTTTAAACAAAATCTTAATTGTTTAACACTATCTTAAGTGTTCTATATAACACTACCACTAAAAGTGGGGAAAGTGTATTCCTTTTGCATTTTATGATTTTAACCATAATATCACAGTCAAATAAATATATAGAATAATTATCATATCGTGGCTTTGAGTTTTTATTTTATTTTATTTTGGGGTTTTATAAGCTTTCGAGTTTCGACGAATAATATGAAGTATGGACCAATTTAAATGTCTGTGATGATATTCCACAATAGTATGGACCACAAGAAACGTGTGTGATATTTCACAATAGTATTGGACCATGGAAAATGTATGTGTGTGATATTTCACAAAGTAGTATGGACCATGGGAAGATTGTGTTCAAAAATAAGTTGTAGTGATATGTTTTTTTCTTTCAAATCAAGGAGTTGCTGACATTTGCTAGCTATGTAACTTCATCTGTTTTCGAGAAAAAAAGTAACTTCATCTGTTTCAGATGTTCTTTTTCATACTATTTATAGTAACTCTGACAAATTATAGTTATCATTCAT